CTTTTAACATACACTGTAAAGCAAATTTATTAACGCGCCTGCGTTGTTAACTTTCACAATCATAATAAACGGGTAATTATATTAAAGCTTGAGCAATTAAGGATTCGCGATGGTTGAAAATACTTTCAAATTGCACTGGCCTAAAAAGAGACTTTTCAAATATCTCTGGTGGTGTAACTCCTTTTAAATCTAAAATTACACTCGTTTTCATTCGATTACTTATACTTATTATTCATATTTTTCCTTATTTCAACATTGTTGAAGACATTTTTCCTTATTTCAACATTGTTGTTGTTTTTAGCACATACAGTATTAGACAAAAGTAGTGCCAACGGTAATCGTCGATTATTTACGTATATTTATTTTTTTAGCTGACATATGTAAGAACTACGAAACCCTGACAGATGCAGAAAGAAAATATGACTATGAAACAAAAGACTCAAAATGTGACAACACACTGAATGGCTGGTATCGCTTCCAAGGAGCTGCAGGCACAAAAATGGTGACCACATGTACACCGATGAACCGTTGTGACGCAGACATCCCTATCTGGTTAAGTGGTGGTCATCCTACAGTGGCTGAGGGTACAGTCACAAGAAAAGTCTGCATTAATATGGATGAGGACTGTACTTGTAAAGAATCAGTCAACATTAAAGTAAAGAACTGCGGCTCCTACTATATCTACAACTTATTTCACCCAGGGAAGTGTAACGCCCGTTACTGTAGCACTGACTAATCCAGTAACAAATGACTTTAGGGTGAAACCGATATTGACGGCTTTTTCGTGACGTGATTGCTATCGGTTTGCTTTCGTTGCTCTTCCTTTCACCATTTGAAAACTGCGACTACTAGAACGACACCCGATAAATAAGCAAACGGAGCAAAAAAACATATAATTTACATATTATAACTTGTTTGAAGACAAGAGATTATCAAGGTGAGAGAGTGAATCCCCCATATAGGCCTTCTACCCAAGGTAATCTCTCTTAAGTTATTTTTATACATGGTATCCAGTTCTTCCGCGGATGTTACTCTCGCGTTGCGTGGATGTTTTCATAGGGATCTGTTTATGTTTCGTTTCGTTTCGTTTCAAAGCCGAAAGGAAAACCTTCAACGCTGTGGAGATGTCTTCTTTGATATTTTGATTACAAGCAAAGGAGCTTCTCGGTATGTTTTCATACATTTCGAAACTTTAATATGAGTTTAAATAAGAGACGGATGTCCCCTGCACAAACAATACCAACTAAATGAGCGGCGGACAAATGTTTAGACAAACGAGTGCAAAGCAAACAAACGCCCAAACACAAGCTAGACAACCGAACAAACAGATGATCGAAAGTGCAGGCAGACGCTCGCTGCTCAAGTAGCAAAATGCAGTTTAAGCAGGAACGGCAACAACGCCAAAGACAACGTCGATTAAAAAAAAAACGACTTAATATTCAACCTACGAATCTCGCTAGAATTTAGATTCATTTAGATTGTGTATACTGTCAGATATATCCCAAATAGAATATGTAAGAGAGCTTCAAATTTCGAAAGAGAAATTTTAAGGTTCTGTCCTCGTGTACCGGTTCACAAGAACCGATACAAAAGACCCAACAATGTACAACAGCTAACCAAAGGTTCGCAAAG